GCCGACTATCCACCTGTAGGCATGGAAAAATACACCAAAACACCATCAAAAGTTATCAATATTCCGGTAAGCAAATATCAATATTTAATTTTAAATTATATTTCAATGGTTTTTGCTAAAATTACTTATGTAAAATGAATCTTAAAAAATGATTGTATTTCAGATAAACATTGTTGATTATTATTTTAATTTTTTTTGCAATCGATTATGTTTATGTACAATTCATTTAAAAATGGTTAATTCCATTATTATTTGATTAATTAATTTGTTTTTTAATTTAAAAAAAAATTGTAGAAGTATACTAGAGGTATGATTAGACTTCATGCAGAGAAAAATTAACAAACAAAATATAGTGTAGTTTTAAGTGTAGTTCATTTTTTTATTGAAAAATAAATAAATAAAAATTTATTTTTTCAGAAATGCAAGACATATCAAAAATTTCTAGAGCCAAGTAACATTGAACGTGACCAACTATTTAAATCAACATGTGATAATCTTATGAAACAATTTAATCTCAGCATAAACCATTGTAATGAAAACAAAAATAATTGTTGTAATATTGAGACTTCTCAAAAAACTATTGTAAATAACTAAGTAAAATTCTAATGTTAGGAGATTAATTGTTAATTATAACTAAATAGCAATAGATTTAATTGTTTTTTTTTTTTTTTTTGTAAATATTAAGGATTATAATATTACAGTAAAATGTATACATGTGCTAATTATATTATAATATTTAATATAATCTTTCGATACTAAATTATTATTTCAGAGATTGTTTTTAGTTAGGTAAACATTCAACTTACTTTAACTCCCTATGATTAAAAAGTTATAAACAACTATAATGTTTTACTAGCAGCAAATTTTTGTATATATTTATTATAACCTCATGGGTTTTATAGGTTTTTACATATTGTTACTGTATATGCAGTTGTATGAGTAAAATTCGTGAAGGATTGATTAAACATTTAGTTCACAGAAAAAATTTTTTTTTGTATATTTGAGAATATTTCATCGGTTATAGAATATTTAGCATATTAAGTATATTTTGAAAGATTGGGTTCATTTTGAGAAGAAAAAAAAATGTCAATTTCTCATAATTTCAATTAAAAAGTATTTGGAAACAATTGCTTAAGAAAATGGATAATAACTATAATTTTTTTTGTATCATTTTGATATAAAAAACATGCTTTGAAATATTTTAATAGGGAAGAACTCATGAGTATTCCTTTATCACTTAAACCAGTTGTTAATAGATGGAGCATATGGCTTAAAGCTATGATTTTTAATACTGATCATTACTTGGGGATAAAACTATTTTTAAACTTGGATGTTTTTGAATATTTTTAAACAGAATATAAACAGAATATTTGCAGCTTTTTTAGAGAATATAAGCATCATATTTAAGGCATATTTAGAGAGTATGAATATGGACTCTAGTTATAACTTGCATTGATATTTCTAAAATATTAGAATAGCAGTTCTTAATTAAATAGTATTTATCATTCTAAAAAATACTGTTATACTCTTATAGTTGTATTAATACTCCTTTTTATTTTAAGGATGACCTTTACAAATTAAATGATATTGTTAATGTATTATCAGATCAACTATGTAAGGACACCTTCAAATTCAGTTATAAATCATCTCATTTCAACATGAACTTTAACACAACAAAATCGCGCGTCTTGAAAAAACAATGTGTACATTACACGTTTATAATGCATAAGATTAACACCCATTTTTGATGCTTCTGCTAAAACAAAAAATAAAAACAATTCATAATAACATGTGAATAAACCACTAAATGACAAATTTTGAAACCTAAATAGAAGCATAGATGATAACTGTAGGCGGTCAGCAATAACTCGTTTCATTGTACAGTTGACTAAGAGCATTCAAACATTTACGGAAATTAAAAATAAAGTATTCACTGTAGCAACCGATAAGAAAAAAATATTAAGGAAATTTATTAAAAGAATTACCTGCTTTTAACGTCAAATACACCGGAATAAAAACAAAAGTATTCAAACTGTATAATATCAACTGATGATTGATATCATTTACAAGAATACCTACTGTTTAAAATACGATAAAACGGTCTCGGTGTACAAAGAAAAACACAGTATACAAAATAATCAATTACCTAATGTTCAAAAGTAAAACGAAAGAAAAATTAAAACTACAGTAAAACTCGCTTAAGACGCTCTCGCTTAAGACGCTTTCCCGCATAAGACGCTGTTTTTAGTCTGTCCCTAGACAATTCCTATACTAGTCAATGTAAAAATCACCAGTTAAGACGCTCAGTTTTTCTCTGTCTAATCGGGTAAAACGTTCTTTTTTTCAGCAGATTACGATAAATTTTAGTAGTTTTGTGAAAATAAAAATAGAATTTTTAGTACTATACGTGTTCTTATCGTTTTATTTTATCACTATACCTATTTCATCGTCTTATGAGATTTGGTAAGTGCTGTTCGTTCGCATGTGTATAAACGTAATTTCGTTATATATTATAATTAATTTATAAGTGTATTTCTCATTAAATTATTTTTAATAATAAAAAATAAACTCGATATTTCAACCACATCATTTTGTTTCATTCCCGCATAAGACGCTTTCCCGCATAAGACGTTTTAGAGAGCTGGTCCCTTAAAGAGCGTCTTAAGCGAGTATTACTGTAGTTAATTTTCTCCCTGACGCTGACAATCTGAGGAATATTGAATGATTTATTCAAAACGTTATAAATAAGAGAAGTAAGTTTATTATCATAACATCGATTTAGATAAACAAATTAACAATGATTAGACTTTTCTAGGAAACAACTAATGACAAATTATTTGGGTTTTGGTTACAAGAAGATCCAACGAATAAAGAGTGTGTCAGAATTTAACATTTCTATATGATTTTTATAATCATACATTTAAAACGAGATTTAGTTATAACATTATAAAAACTAAAAAAAATAACAAAATGTACATTACATAACTTGTATATTAAGCATAAAAATGTTATTTAGAATTTAAAAAACTGTAAAAAAAATCAAAATGAGCATTAAGTAGACATTTCTAGAGTAAGAAGTGATGACAAATCTTTTGTGAATGTTTTAATAATATCTGATGATTATTGAATATGAAATTTAAAAAACAGTTTTTAACATTTCATATCACTTGTATATACTAGCACTAATGATTTTGTATTACTTTTCTGGTTAAAAAAGCGTGTTACCCGCCTGTGTTGTCTCTGTCTTATAAATAGATAGATTGTGTTTATATTATTAAAATACTTAAAACTTGTTTCAAATTTTAAATAAAGTAGAAAGCCCATGAGGTCGTCGAAATATTATTTTTACCTTTAAATTTTTTAAGAAGTCAATTCGCTCTTATTTTGAAAATTTGCCACGTTATTCAAATGTTTTATGTGGGCATAGACAACACATGTGTGTATCACTTCTACAATTTAATGAGCTTTTTGATATCAGTAGACAGTAATTGCCTACAGACTTGGCCTTCAGATAAGAAGCCCTCGCGGTTTACCGGTCAAACAGAAGGTGTATTATTATCTTTAATATTATTAAAAACTGTTAAACTCATTTACTATATTTAATAATAATAACTAAAAAATTGTAAATATTTTTATGATATGTATTAGAAAAGAAAAAAATAAAGTAGAATACGCGAGCGACGATACGAAACTGAAAATCTCTTAAGTATACCAAAGTAATAACTAGTAATGTGGTAGGTATTATAACCTAACCTAGGCATTATGTTTAGACTAGAATTGTCTATACATTATTTGAACTATGGTGAAATAGAACCTTTTGCTATAACTTATTATTCTGATTGCAGTAGTATAAAATCTGAAATTAAATTTATTTAAAATATAAGTAATACTTCAATAAAAATCTTATTGCAATTTTACAGTTTTTTTTAAGTTTTTAAAATAACATTTTCTGAGATGTATATAATATTGTGTAGTATATTAATTATAATTTCAGTTTTATTGGTGGCTTATAAACGTACATTTTTATCTGTTTAGAAATGAAGGAACACTAGAAACAATAAACCATATTATTTCAGTCTCCACAAAATAATAAAAGAACATTATATAAACAATAAACGGTATCAAACATTATCGCACTTATCAGGCAGTTTTATTATTTATAAAAGTTTTGAACAAGGGGAATTACTAATTTTATTATGTACCGGAATGCTATCTATGTTCTTCATCATATAACTAATACAGGAGTATTTAAGTTAAATGACCTTATTTATAATAAGATTTACTTACTTATTTGTTTCAGTTATATTTACATAAATTGCGATATTACCTTTACAGTAACGTTTATTTCCCTGCAATAATTATTACCTATAATAATTACCGTATCTAATTATTGCGTATACCTATACTATTATTTATAGTTAAAAACTTAAATACAAAACAATATTATAATATTATAACAGTTAAAGTTAAAATCTTTATCATATTAAAACAATGTACTTAAATTAAATTCACTTAAATTTTTATTCTATAGTGGAGGTAGTTATTGTACGGCGGACTTATAACTAAAAATAATTATAAATAATCAAAACAATAGAATTAGACAATTTATGAAAACATTGTTGTCTCCTATATTAGCTAAAGACTATTGTGACCACATACCTTATACTATAAGGTACTATAGGTTACCATATAAGGTCTATGATTGTGACAAATAAATTCTATAGATCATAAACAAATAAACTCAAATTTCAACTTTTTAATTTTAATTTTTGTTTTGTAATTAAATTTTTAAACTAAGATTTATTATATTATATTATATTTTAATAATAATAATAATTGTAGCAATATAAACTTAATTACAATTGTAACATTGAAATTATTGCAATTATCACTTTAAAAAAAAGTAGTTAAAAATAATGAAAACCAATCCCAATAACTTTGTACTCGTATATTGTTTTTACGATGAATAATATATAGGTAGCGCTCCATAAACTATTGCTTTTTTCCCCACTGTTCAAGACTCAATAAAAAATTAGGCAGCCTGGTAATAGGATTTCTTATCCAATTCAATATTTCTTAGCCATTGGTGATCGCTTAACGACCGTTAACTCAACTAGAGCTCTTGCAGTTTTACACCGCTGATTTTAACATTACTGCGTGAAACCTTTCGGACTTATTTTCAAATTACTCTCTCGTTTGTTCGAATAACCATATTTTTTTATTTTTTGTCGACCACCTGTTTACATAAAAGAAACGAGATGAAGATTGCATACGAAGTTTTCTTTGTCATTATATACATCCACTTCGGTAAGTACCTCTGAATAATTAGTATAAATAAAAATTAAACTAATCACCAAAAAAAAAAATAAATACTACACGGTTATTTGTGAGAGTAAAATAATTTTTTACTGTATGACAATATATTTCTGTATACGTACTTACTGTATAGGTTTGCAGCAAGAACTATTAATATATTTATTTGTGATTGCTAGTAGAAAATCTTTCTTATTAACTTTATATATTTGTAAGTAGTATGTAAGTAGTATAATTTAAATTATTGCTTATAACATTTATATAAATAAATTAATAATATTATAATATAATAAAAATACATTTTTATACTAAAACAAAACAGAAAACATATTTACTTAATATCTAAAGTTAAATTAAAAATTAACAATAATATATAAAAATAAAATAAACTTCATCAAGGAAATCAACATTTGGAAATATTTTAAGAAATTTTTTTCCTATAAAATGCATAAAAAAATTTAATGTTGATTTTCTTTGTGTAGTTCTGGAAACAAATTCTTTAACAATTAACTATAAATCAACTTTCGCTGTCATAGACTTATAAACATGTGAAATCTCAAATCATTATATGGGTTTATCTCTTTTGGGTCATCGTAGACCTCAAATATATTCTTATTAGAATTTTTTATTACAATAACTCTTAGCAAAATGTGTTCCATTTTGAATACGCAAACGTTTAAATTAAACGTAATTTATTATAGTATATTTTATAATTTTATTGTAGTTTGAAGGACAAAATTATATTTTTGCTCCTTCTTGGATTTTATCTAAAGGGGCTAATGTGTTATCTTAGGTAAAAGTGTTTTATACATACCTTTTTAATTGTAGCACTCAAGTGGTAAAAACGTCGCAGTTCTTAATGATAAAAAATGTATTATTAATTATTATGGGAACTATTGAAAACAGCTAGTAATTAAGAAAAAATAATGTGGAATGTATCATTAGAAATATTTTTTAACAAAATACTTGATTTTAATCCAACTTAATGTTTCTAAATTAAAAAAAAAAACTATAATATTTACTAAGTTGGTATAACTAGTCGCATTAGTCGATTGTAATGTGTGACCACAATGGAAAGCAGTAACAAGAGTTAGTAATTACTAATTAGTAATTATCGCCCGGAATTTTTCTATCTCCATTTTAGGTACCTATAGTAATTTCCGCCCATAGTATCCAAGAGGCCTTGAATTAATTATTATTGATTTTATAGGCTATTGTACATTATACTGGTGTAGAAACTGATGTTTTATCGTTTATAATCAATATAAGGTTAATTATGTTAATATGATAGGTATAAGTGGTATAACGAAATAATTGTTCGAGTATTACATTATAGTGATCAAACTCAATAATGTGTTAAATTGATGCTATATTAAAGTAGTAATGAAAAATTATTTAAGATAAATAAAAATGAAAATTGACTTTTTATATTCTAAATAGCTTCTTATTTAATTTTATTCACTTTTTTTTCAAGTTAAATTATTTTATAAAAAAATATTTTCAGAGGTTAGTGGTAGCCGCTTCCTCGAGGATATCTGGATAATGCTAAATTAGCATTGAAATATATAAATTTTTATCAACGTCATTTTAACCATGAATTACGTGGTTCTCAATATTATGAATATTTAGACAAACCATTTATAATAGGTACTTAAAAATATATGTAGGTACTACAAAACGATAGTATCTTTTTCCTACCAGACTTACTAAGTTTATAATATTAATATTATTAAGTACTTATACTAAAATATATTATAAATTCTGATGTTGAAAATTAAATTTTAAATTGTCACACATTTATTTCAATTTCAGCCTATTCTCAGAATATACAAACAGCCGTAAAAGATGTTGGTGGAGTTGTTGAAATGAAATGTTCGGTTTTCAATACAAGCGGAGTTCCTGTCGCATGGATAAAATTTGATAAAGAACAGCCCACTAAAACCTCTGTACTATCGATTGGAAAAAAACTTATTGTTCGAAATCCAAGATTTTCAGTAGAAGTTGGAGTCGGAAATAGTAGTTATACATATAAGGTATGTAATTCCATATAAATGTTGTTAAAAACCTTATCAAAACCTTTTTACAAACTCCATATTGCCATACTTAATTTTTTTAACGAAATAATTATAAATTTATTTTTCAGATTCAGAATATACGTGACACTGATATAGCATCCTATCGTTGCGTAGTGATGTGTGATGTCGACGACGGCATCAATACGTCTGCAGATATTGAGTTGGAAGTGAATCGGTCTCCAAGCATTTTAAAATTTTCTTCGTCTCCGGCCACATTAATCGCGAGGGAAGGTCGGCCGTCGAAACTAGAATGTTATGCCGACGGATACCCTGAACCAAAAGTTACATGGAGCCGACAATTTAATGGAATTTTAACGACAGGAGGAAAGTTTTATAGGTATATCAACAGAGAAAAATAAGCAAAATAAAATTTTATAATTGGATGTACAGATTAATTATGTTCATAAATAAATACTTACTACTTTTTTTTTCAGAGGTAATGTCTTACTCTTTCCTAATGTAACAAAAGATGACCGCGGAACTTATTTCTGTGATGCGATGAACAGTGATGGCAAAGGTGTGCGGCACATGGTTGAATTTCATGTAGCATTTGCCCCAGTGATAACAGTTTCAAATATTATGTATACTCATAGAGAACTTTCAAAACCAAACATGGATGTCCAATGCCTTGTTGAAGCTTATCCTGCTCCGAAAATTGATTGGCTCTATAACGGTGTTGTACTCCTCAACGATAAATACAATAGGTAGGTATACCAAACCGTCGAGTACTTAAAATTTTTGTATTTTAATGTGTGTTATTTTTGAAATTTAGAATTGAGGGAAACACTACTGATCATACTGATCACCAGTTCAGTTTTTCGAGTTTAAGTTTTCTAAAAAATAATTACGATCAACACGGGAAATACACATGTAAAGCCCAGAACGAAATTGGTACGGCTGAAGTCACAGTTATTGGTAAGTATTATTTTTATTAACACACGGAAATGTGTTTAACTTGATTATCTTGTCATATAAATGTAAACAAAACGAACAACTTTTCAATCAAATGTTTTGGGATTAACTGTTAGCATACACATTTAAATATTTCCCTATCTAAATTTCAAAATTTATATTATTTTTGATTTTACAATGAGTTTCAATAACATGATGACATTAGCCAGGTCGTTTTGATTCTATTAATCGGTTGATTCTATACAACAATTTTAACTTTATGCAATTATAAGCATAATTAAAATAACATGAAAAAAAAATACATTTAAAATAAGGAAAAGAACTATCAATTTTAGATTAGACTTTTGAATGTCCTTTAATTTGATTTCCATAATTGTGTGAAATCCAAACCTTACACATAGTATAATATTGCTATATTATATTAATTAAAAATATGGAATTTACAAGATTATTTCATTACGTTTTAATAAGACTACATTCTTCGAAAATTCTATAAGGTATAATTGATAATTAATTGGCTAATTAATACTTTATCGTGCTAATCGTTTGAATAAAATCTACATATGTCTATTTGTTTGAAATTTAAAACAACAAAGAATTTTGAACAGTATTTATGTTTAAAAATCATTTTTTTTTTTTTTTAATTTTTAATTACTAATATAATTCAACTATTATTATTCGTTTATTTTACAGAACGACCATGCACAAAATCAAATTGTGATCCTAGACGAGTTCATCATAAAAATTTACCTAATTTTTATGGATTAACACCTTAACAAATATATTTTGCATTAAACGTAATATCATTATATACATTTATTTAGGTGAATTAATTTTAATGATATTGAATATTATAAATTCCAATTATGTAATTTCTATGATATTATTATTATAATTATTTCTTGGCAAACAAAACTTATATTAAATAAGGTTATATAAATATGAATAAATATTGTTTGATTTAAACCAACATTTAACTTGCACAAATAAAAGTAAAACAATTTTTATGAAATGATGATGCTATTAAAATTATATTTACAACAATCAATTACACCTATAACCAATGATAATGGTTAAATTATAGAGCACCTATTTTCATTTGCTTTGGAGTTCTATCATTTTACAGGCTCTTCCGTGCTTACAATTTATTGTACTTGGTGCATACCCATTATGTTTTATTTAAGTTGTGTTATTAAATTATTAAAATAATTAAGCATTAACAACTACAAAAAGTTCATTGACAGAGGTAATATAGTGCAACAACATTAAGACACAAAAAAAAAAATTAACTATATAAGTTTAGGTAAAAGTTATTACTATTGGAGTCAACACAACAATATAATTGTAAGTTGGAACTATATTTTTACAAAATAAATAATTAAAATAAATGAACATTATATAATAAAGAAAATTTATTCTATTTAACTATAACATAAAGTTGAAACCATAGATATTACTGGATAAAATTAAGTAGTACAACAATGTAGTATTGTAAAGTTCTGAAAAATTCTTCACAAATAAAAATATTTTCATTATAAACGCAGGATTAAATTTTTCAAAACAGGTTATTGTTTTTAAATATTTAAAAGCTAAATAAGATACAAATATAAAAAAAAAAAAACTAAAAAACATTTTATGTAACTATCTATTGATATATTAATGCAGTCATAAATTAAATAACATCAAAAATTAAATTATATTAACTTAACCTGACACTTTAACTTTAAACACATACAGCTCGTCACAAATATCCTTAGTTAACATCCTTGCCAATTTGGTGAACCTCCTAAAGATGACACTGTATCAGCGAAATCATCGAGCATTCGAAGTTCTACCCCAGAACTCCTCCCACCTGGATTAAAAGCATAAAACTGTTATAACAATTAAAAAAAATTAAAAAAACAATTAAAATAGTGGTGGTTCAGGACTGGTTCCAAGATGATCCAATGAATATTGAGAGAGTTATTCAAAATTCAGTTTTTTACACTCACATATGAGCCTTATATGTAGCACGAAAAGTTGAATTAAGTTTCAAACCCTAGAAAAATACATAATATGAACATTCAGTAGACAATCCTATTGTAAGAAATGATGACAAGTATTTTGGTGATGGTTTCAAGATGATCCAATGAATATTCAGATAGTTATTCAAATTTCAGTTTTTTACACTCACATATGAGCCTTATATGTAGCATGAAAAGTTGAATTAAGTTTCAAACCCTAGAAAAATACATAATATGAATAGTGAGTAGACAATCCTATTGTAAGAAATGATGACAAGTATTTTGGTGATGGTTTCAAGATGATCCAATGAATATTCAGATAGTTATTCAAATTTCAGTTTTTTACACTCACATATGAGCCATATATGTA